AAAAGGGAAAAAACTAAACCATGGATTGATTTTTTGGGGGAAGGGGGAAAAAAAAAAAAAAAAAAGACTAAAGAGCAGCAGCAGGTGGGGACAAGGCAGAAGGAAGATTAAGTTCTTTCTATGCAGAATTGTGCTGAATCAGGGGGCCAGCCATGATAATGCCTCCCTTGTAGTGTTTTCATGCCAATTCCCACCTCATAGATGAGAGATCAATAGAAAGAGCAAGATATATTTTTACTAAAACTTTTTTCCTGCACATCACTTTTATTCAATTACTACATAAATAAAGCACATGGAATGGTATCCAGCTTCTTTATTTGCTGGTATAAAATGTGCCAAGGCAGAAGCAATTAAGAGACTCTGATTAGACAGATATGCTAATGGTCCAGGCACACAACACAGAAGTACACTTTTATATTGTTTCAAATTGTCCTTCAGCTTTTTTTGGTTTTTTTACTATGTATATACTGAAGGTCCTAAACATATCTGCAAAATGATAACCTTTTAAACATGAACTTCTTATTAAATGATACTTTTTAGGAAGGAGGTATAAAATCAGTAAAATCACTCTTATTTATACACAACTATAATAGATTAATACCTTCCTATTTCATATCAGCTTATTCAACTTGATAAGCTATTTTCCATTAGCCTAAACAAATGGTGTAGGAGTATAAATAAAATGTAGATACAAGGCTCAACTTTAACATTTAACTGTATCTGATATTTACAAGTAGACCAAAATAATTATTTTAGTTAGCTGAAATGCAGAATAAGATTTACACTTCCACTCTTCTTCACTTTCCTATCTTGCTGGTAGTATTTTGCACCCATGGGAATCTAAAATTATTTGCCTATAACATTAGAGGTAATTAGAAGTAACCTCATATCAGCCCATCTAAAAACATTATGCAAGTATTAATTCTTCATGTTATTACACTGTCAATTCCTAAACTAGTCTAAAAGAAGACTGCAGTTTTTCATTCCCATTGACACTGCCACATAACTAACAAGGTCAAAAGCATTATTTCTGAAGTGTACATTAGCTCCAGTAAAATTTATTAGATCTCATCTCAAAACTCTAAATTTACAAATACCTCTATTTGGAAGCTTTAATCAGGGAAGAGGGTTGGGAACATTAGACACATGAAGAGGACAGATAACATTTCCAATGGAGTTGTCCTCACATTGCTCAGTACTTGTAAGTAAAAAAATACTTAACTTGAAATACTTCTAGATAATGTTCAACTTGGATAGAGTGCACATAATTTTGGATGAAATGGTGTTAAATGGATGCATCGTGGAGACAAACAGGAGTAGAATTCTTGCACCTCTACTTGTTCTTGACAAAATGGCAGAAACTTAGAAACAGACAAGCCTGTTGAAGAACATATTTTACAAAGGCCATCCTCTACAGCTATTTCTTGGGACTTCAGAAGGACAAATCATGCAATATTCAAACTGATTGAAACATGTTGAAGATGAGTTAATCAAGAAATCTAGTATATGTCCCATTTCATTTTATCTACCCAACAAAATACTTGAATACCAGAAGATAAAACAAATGTGAATAAAAGGGGGAGGGAAACTTAAACAAAGCAGCAAATTCAGTTGACACAGCAGCTGCCCTTCTTATAAATTAAGTATTTATTTTGGTATTTGCAGTTCTATTAGAGAAAAATCTTTAGAGTTGTCTTGGAAGTCTGTCTTCATGTATCTCTTTGGTTTATGTACTGTATTCATGCCAAAACTAAGGGAGTTGGTGGGGGTGGAAAGGAGCTGAAAAAATTAGTATAATCCCAAATTATTTTCTATGCTTGCTTTAATATACCAGTATATATTTTTGTTGCTATAAGTATGTAACTTAAGATCTTGTTCTGCATCTGTATGAGCAATCTTCTGCTGGATTTCAGCTTCACAGGAACAAATTTGCTTCTTCATAGGAGTGACTGGCATAAAGCCTGTTCACATTTACTCAGATTTTATACTGAAGGGAATGTTACAAATTTCTAAGTACTGTGCAAATTGTAATCCAAGTATTGAGGCACTTAAGAACCATTATGTTAATAAAAATGAACAAAGATGATAAAGTAAGATTTGGATAAGTCTCATGCTCAAGAAGCTGCTACTTTGTAAAGTTTATTTTTTTTATTATTTTAATGCTTAGGTATTTGCTTCTAAGCATGAAAATAAATACTCTTTCCCCTTAATCTGGTGTTTTTTCTCTCACATTTACTATAGTTTTGTTCACAATATTGGCACTTAGGTCCGCAGCTCCAAAGCATGAAGGATTGCCGGTCATGGGAACTCGCAGTTTACAACACTTTAACCATAGAATCATAACACAAAACTGTTTTTCCTCCTCTACTGACCATTGATTCCCTCTCCTGCCCGATGCACACTAAACTAAGTGCTTGATATGCTGCATCAAAGGGGCAAGTTAGCCTCAGTTCTGCTTCAAAACATGATTACCTTGTTCTTTCCCAGTGTACAAGTTAGGGAAACCAGGGCAGGAAATCCTATTGTAACATAAAACAATTAACCAAGAAACATTACAAACATCATCATTACCTTATCATGCTAGGTCATAAAAAAAGGAGAAGCTGAAGATGCTCATATAAGAAATATGATATGGTTAGTATTGCTGGAACTTGATGGTGAAAATGGGGTTTATGACTGAAACACTGAAATCAGTTATTACAACTTATTCTATGAGGATAAAATGGGAAAGGGAAGGATGGCACCTCCCACAAGAAACACCCTTTCCTGTTAGAGTCACATGCTTATTGAGATCACAGGACACTGAATGCTCACAGATACACTTGTCAGTAGTAAAACTAGGTGGTGGGATTCTAGTGGACATGCATTACTGACTGCCTCATCTCAAACAGCAGGAAGAAACTGCTTCTTAAAGATCTGTCTATAAAATGTGCAGGATAAAGAAAACATGTCATGGGTGACTTCAACCTTGGAGACACTTTCTTGACATCTATTGTGGACAGCAACTAAGTGCTAGATAAGGTCTTATTCTGCCTGCTGCACAACATAACGTAATATTACACCTCATGCTGATGGATAAGGAAAAAATAAATAGCCCAGCTAAAAATTTGCATTTACCTAGGCACCAGTGATCGTGATCACTGGCAAATGGAACATGTTTGGAAATTCAAAACGTCTGATACAATAAAACCTAAACACTTCATATAAAAGGATAGAAGAGTGGAAGTAAAAGGCAGTGACCATAACGTGATGTTAAAATATGTAGGCAACTAGTAAGGGAAGCCAAAGGAACAATAAAATACATGTGGCCACAATTAAAAGGTAAGGTATTTTTTAAATATACTGGGAGTAAGAAAACCCGCAGGCCCAATGTTGCCCCATTGCTACATGCAGATTGTAAATACTAATGTCAGGAAGGCAGAAATATTTAATAGATATTTTTATTCTTTATTTCGAATGACGAAGGAGCATGTACCCATCCTATGTACTGCTGAGGATGGAGTAGAAAGTTTATGATCTGCAACAAAGGAGAATGTAAGGGGGTATCTGCAAAAGTTAATTTTCAAACCAATTTATACCAGTCTTAAAGGAACCAAGGAGCTTTCATATCCCCACCCCATCCCCCAGCACATCTTTTCAAGATTTGCTAAGGACTGGAAGACTGTTAATGCAGTTGCAATATTTAAAAGATAAAAAGGAATGAACAGGAACAAGAGCCTGGTTAGCTAGATTTCAATCCCAGATAAAATAATGTTATGGTTAATTTGGCATCTTTTGGTGACTCTCTCAAAGACCTAAATTTAAAATGTAATTAGTGTTACAGATGGTTTCATGGAAGGTTGATCTTAGTAGAGAAACTTATTGTTTTATTCTGACATGATTATAGGCCTGGCTGATAAAGACATCTGGTGTTGTATGTACTCCTTGGATTTCTCCCAGGCATTTATGTATATTCAAAGATGGACATTTGTGGGGGTCCTATTTGGCCTTAGAATCTATTAAACTGTTTTTATCTTGTTCTTTGGGCTAAACAAGGTTGCCTGAATGTCAGCACTGAAAACTCTTCATTACAGCAATGAGGGATGAGATTTGATATGTGATTAGGGACCTCTGCTGGTTGTCTGCAAGTATGTATCCTGTACCAGGCTGTATAAGCCACTGTGAAACTCATGGAAATTGGAAGAAGAGGGCATTTTACCTTTCAAGGAAAAGGATTTGAATCTTCACCCCACAAAGACCCCCCCCCAACACACTTAGTCCAAGCTGAGTGACTGGACCAAGTCCATGACTACATAAAATGAGGAGTGAACTAGAGTAGTGAGGGGCAAACTTTTCTGCACGTGCCACAAACTAAATCCCATCACTTCCTCAATTGTCACTCCCATACCACCTGGAGTGGAAAGGGGAGTAGGGCATTCAGGCATGCTTTGTAGCCTCTCAGCCATCTCAGTGTGGATCTTACCCAGGTGAGAAAAGCAATTTCTTCATTCTGGGTGTCACAAAGGGACTTGCCTTCCCCCAGCATTCAGAAGTTCCTCTGAAGCTTTGCTGCTTGTGAAGGTTTTAAGAAATAGCCTCACACACAGAAGAGAGGGAGGGGGGGCTTTAAAAAAAAAAAAAAAAAAAAAGGGAAATCTCACCCTGTCCAGGTCCAGATGATAGATTCTGGCCTGCTCTCAATGAGGAAAGCTTCCATATAGCCTGTATGGTAGTGGAAGTGAAGTTTCCCTGAGGTACATTCAACCACATTCCTGTCAAGTTTTCCCTAAACACACCAGCTGGGATTGTCTCAGTGAAACCTTAATCATACACTGGCTCTAAGCTACTTACCTTGTGATCGGCTCGGTCTCAGCTGTCTGCCTGCCATTTATGAAGTGGGGAAGTGAAGGTTTCTCCCCCACATACCTCCCCTCTCCTCCCCCCCCACCCCATAAAACCCTCATTTGTTTTCGCAATTTTGCAGAAAAATTCCAAAGCCAGCCAAGAGGCAGAGTTAATCTTTTTAAAGTGTTGTGAAACCTCTGCTGGAGGTCTGATAAGGAATCTGCTTGGTATGTTGCTCAGAAGTAAAAAAAATTCTGGGTTGTTTTTAAGGATAGGCTTTGGTCCAGGCTCAGAGCAAAAATCCAGGTGACAGAGAAGGGGAGAGCCCAGAAAATGTGAGACATTATGGGGACTGAGAAATATGTCTTTCCTCTTTGATGGTTTAGAAAGACTCCAGTAGTAACCTCTTATTTACTTCATCAAATCACTTACTGCCACAAGACAGGTTTCTTTCCCTCAAAATGCCAAACCAACTGCATTACATGAGGCAGCCCTTCCCTCTAGTGCTATGTGTAATCTTATCTTTCATACAAATATGTTAAAAAAAATATACACTCCAAGCACAGCACACATGTTATCACTGAAAAACAAATTCTCAAGAAGATGCAGTACAGAATTATGAAGGCCCCGCTTAGCCTCAGGCAAGCTAACACAGTCAATTATTTGCTCTATTCCAAATTCTTTTTTCTTTTTTTTAAACTTAGTTCTTTCATGCAATTGCTTTCCAAATACTTTCATTTAACCAAATCAATAGAAAATATGTAGTCTATATATTCACATTTGGAGAATGGTAACAAAATGTTCAGAGGAGACAGTTTTGTACGCTGCAAACTTTTTAATGATTATTGTTGAGCATACACATTGGAATTTTTTTTTTAACTTCAAACTGCAACAAGTTAAATAAATGTTTATAATATACAAAGAAAATACAACCAAAGTAAAACTTGCTTTGTGTGCCTTGCACCAGGGACCAGTGTTTTTTTTTCTTTTTCTTAAATAGCTTTATTGTTGAACTGCACAAACACACTTAGGGATTTGATCTTTATAGGAGGGGATTTAAGAATCAAAATATATTCCCACTTGAAAGAAAAACTAAACAGTTGTGCATGATTATATGCAAAAAAAGAAAAAAGAAAACACTAAAATACTCCAATAGTGCAGGCACCATTTTAAAAAAGAAAGAGAAAGCTGGAGATGCTCATTAACCCTAAGTTTTAAGGAAGCAGGTTTTTTGACCAGTTAGCTTAAAGCCAGCAAAATAGGGATCAGTGATGGCAATCGTAGTGTACAAGGTATTAAATGACAAACTTTACACAAATACACTGTTAGAAATTTATATCGGTGAACACTGAAAATCTGATGATCTGTTCTTTGGAACAGTCAAACAGAACCACCTTAATTTCCAGTCGTGCAAGCCCTTGAAGCATCACACAGTGTTCTGTGCCATTTACTTGCTGGCTGTGTAGTTACAGGGATTTGTTGTGTCATTAGCAGCTAACAAACTTATTCCACATGTTCCTAACGCCCCACAGGTGGAAAAAAGGCAACTCTCATCAGAGCACAGCGTGGAGATCATATTTTCTGCACACAAACACAAGAGGCTTCACTAGTATAAAAACAGTTTCTCAGGTCCCATGTGTTGCACTCAGTAACTCAGTTGAGATGAAAGCCTTTTTCCGTAGTAGCAGCTAGTAGGCGCTCTCTCATTATCTCCTCAGAAGAATACTCAGGCAACTTAAGGTAATGCACACATGTATTCACAGATGGATAACTTGCATCTGTAGCATCAACCTGAGAATAAAAAAAAAGGATGACAATTTATACAGAGGGTAGTTGTTCACAGTACTTTATAGACTGATCCTTTGTTCCACAGAATTTACAGTCTAGTTCATAAATAAAGAAGGGGGGATTCCAAGGAATGATGGCAGTGATTACACTATTCCTACACTACATCCACTACTAATACTTGTTTGATATTTAGTTTACAAGTACTTTTAATTAATTCCTTCATGAGAACATGAAGTTGTTACTGAAGTGGCAAAGGTTTTTTTTTTTTTTTTTTTAAAA